CCGTTTCCGCAGCCTTTTTCTGTGGCATCATCTTCATATATTAGATAATCCGAAACTCGACCTGATTACGATGGTGTGAAAGATCATATCCTCGAGGTCACGGCGGCGGAGGTGCAACTTAGTCCACCTGATGATAAGTGGTTTTTACAGCTTGTAAACACCTGGAACCAACCTCAAACAATGAAGGCGAGAGTGGCGTTGCCGCCTCTGAAGACAGGTTGCTTTCAAGCCTATACTGGCTGTCTATAACCTTTAAACTGGAATTCAGCAATGCACTGTCTATCTGTGCAGGACGGGATTATACTGAACTTTGAACGAGTGTATTGGCAATTGGTGAAACATAGGTGCACTCTCTATATATTCCTACACTCTCATAGTGTGATGGGATGGCATTCCGACACGAGCAGAGAGAGATCAGAACCAGGGGCGTAGCTACCGCCGCATGAGCCGTATCAATGATTCGGGGCCCCCGGGCTACAGGGGCCCGAACGTGTGTAAGCAAAAATTCGTAAAATGTTATCCACAATCTCACTTAAACTCTTAGGCCGTACTATTAATTAATAATTGATAAACTATTAATTAATAAACTATCAATTAATAATTAATTAATAATTAATTAAAAAATTAATCTTATTAAATTATTTGTTAATTCAATAAGAGTAGCACAAAGTTGGTTCAAGCGTTTTCAGTCCGGGAATTTCAATGTCAAGGATGCAGAACGCTCTGGTCACATTCATACGAATAAAGCCGATGCCATATTTGAAAAAGTGGAGCAAGATTGGCATATAAGTAGTAGTAGTTCTTTACGACATAGGCGAAGAATTGAAGATTGACCACAAAACAGTTTTGAGCCATTTCAAAAAGTCTGGCTATAAGTACAAAAAGCTCGTTATTTAGGTAGCACACGAGCTCACTGAAAGAAACCTAAGGAATCGTGTACTCATTTGCGATTCTCTATTCAAACGTAATAAAAATTAACCATTCTTCAAAGATTAATCACTGGTGATGAGAGTGGATCACCTACGACAAGATCGTGCGAAAAAGACATGATCTTTTTCGCACGATCAAATGGTAGTCAAGTCCACAGACCGCAGCGGAACCCGGATTAACACGTAATAAGGTGATGTTGTATTTATGGTGGGATGAGAAGGGCATCGTTTATTATGAACTTTTACAGCTGGGCAAAAACATCGATCCGGATCTCTACTGCCAACTACTAGTAGTAAAACTTAAGCAAGAAATTGAGAAAAAATAGCCGGAATTTATCATCAGAAAAGGAGTGGCCTTTCATCATGATAACGCCAGATCACACAGATATCTTTAGCCACTCAGCAAAAATTGAGAGAGCTTTGTTGCGAAGTGTAATAATGCATACATAGTCTTGACCTTGCACCCCCAGATTTTCACTTATTTCGGTCTCTTCAGAATTCTTTGGGCAGAGTTAACGTCAAGAGAGGACTGTCAAAACTAATTGTCGCATTTTTTTATCAAAATTCAAAAATTTCTATAGCATCAGGATTATGTCATCTACCTACAAGATGGCTACAAGTTATCGAACAAAATGCCACATATATATAATTTAATGTAATAAAACTTTGAAAAAAAAATGTGTATATAAAATACGAAGAAACTTTTTCCCTGACCTATTAAGGCTAGCTTTGTTCCTAGGAGTAATAATAGTAATTATTAACATTAAAACAATATACAACATGTAACATAATTAACGCACTTTGAGAAAGTAGTTTGTTCAGAATCGTTTACTGAATCGATCATTTTTAATATAGGTAATTTTTTATCCCAAAAATAATTAAAACTACGTAAATTACAATCATACTAAATCTGTACAGTCAAAACAAATTGAAATGGACCGTAACTTAAGACGTTTCCCCTAGCGAACAACCTTGAGCGTTCAGTCCTATACAATCCAGGCGCTCTCGCTACAATATATCGCGTAAAAATACGCCCGAATTTTTGGAATTATTTCAATTAAAAAAGAAAAGCGAACTTAATAAATTAAATAAAAGGTGGATAAAATAGATTTTTAAATTATCCATTTGTCTTTTTTTATCCTCAAATGATTAGAGTGTTTTAGTAGTAGTCAGTAATTTTAGTCATTTTTTAAAAGTAGATTTTAAATGTATTTATAACACATAAAAACAAATTAGAACGTGGAATGTGATGATAGGATATCGAACATTAATAAAGTGCTTTTAGATGTAGCTTATTTCTCATAACTTATGAGATAATAGTCTCTGAAAAACGCACTTTTGCAGGGTTTTGGTTGGGGTACCGCCTTTAAGGGGAAATATAATCTCAAATGGCTCAGCAAAATCCTTCGTTATGCCGAAAATATTGCAGCATTAATTTTGAAATAAATATATGGTAAAGTTGAGGATTAATGTTAAGGATTATGTTAGACGACAACACGATTTCGTAAAATTTTCTCGATAGAAAAAAAAATCCAAAGTTACTTCCAAAATAAACAATAAACCGCTGTTATTCATAAAATACTTTAAATATTATCATGAAACTTTGCATACTAACAAAACTAACTATAAAGCAGTGCTTATGTTATTTACTTTTTTTAAAATACCATTATTTTCACTGTAAAAAGAAATTACCTAAACTTTCGGCCTCTTGAAGCGTGATTCCTGCCGCCCGGTCACTTCGCTTTGGCCTTTGAAGGGGGAGGTTGTGTCGTTTGCGATCAGAATACACGTTACGTAACAGAACGACGTAAAATTAAAATGGGAAATAACCGTAATAAAAATAAGAAGCGACTGGCTTGGCTTTAAGAAACAGGCATAAATATGATAAACCTAATGAAATAAGTGTCTAACGACCTTTCTACTTACAGTATTAGTGATTACAAACATGTCGGTACATAGCATAAGACGCGCGGGCAAGTGGGGACGAAATTAGAATTTGAGCTGACTTACTATATCCCCTTAAGAGTGCAGTTTTATTTGTATTATTACTAATTCTGTCATTCAATAAAAATAAAGAAAAATGAACTTTATTTCAAGCACGTTAAAGTCTTTGCGTTCGTGGATTTGTACTGTGACCACAACATTCTTCCGGAATTAGTATACCTAACTAATTTGATAAATAATCAGTGCATAAAAATGTTTAACTAAAAATTCAGTGTATGTATTATGATCATAACATAATATACTAATTGAGGTGTCTGAGAGTGTGCGTTAATTACGTTACATATTGTATAATTAAGATTTTAATTTAATGCGACCGGTTATGGGCCTTTCATTGGCCATAAGGCCCCCTAACAAATTTTGATACAGGGTCCGTCTAAGGCACGCTACGCCACCGATCAGAACTGTAACAAATGGCTAGATTAAACTACTGATCTTACGTCCTTTTAGTTGCTTTGGTATATGCTCAACAACTCATATGAACTGTTCGATTCGATGGAATTAAGTTAAAGCATCCTTGTGGGATTTCTATGTTCAGCTGTGGTTTTGTGAAAGGATGTAATAAATGTAAAATTTGTGACATTTCGTCCACGATGACTACTTCCAATTATCAAAAAAACAACAACAAATAATGTTAGTGCTGCATATGTAGGTACACGCTAACATAAAGGCAAATTCGCTTCACATTTGCTCTCTGTTTTCATGTTTTGCTCGAAAAGTTGGGTTGGGGCACAATATCAGCAGCGCTCAACATACACCTATAAATATAAAATATTGGCTTTAGCTGGAATTTATTTATATAAATCGAGATGTTATTAGCAAGAGTGGTTATAGGTATTACACCCGTATATTACCTATATACGGGTGTAATACCTATATACGGGGGTAATACCTATATACGGGTGTAATACCTATATACGGGGGTAATACCTATATACGGGGGTGTTTCACCCCCGTGCCTTAGAAAGCACGTAAAGCCGTTGGTCCTGCGCCTGATCTCTCTCCGGTCGTGTCGGTTTACCGTCACATCAGAGTGAGGGAATAGGGAGTGCACCTGTGCTTGCGCATACACTTGGGCACTATAATCCTGTCCTGCGCCGATAGCTAGCCTCCGTTGAGGCAGGCCGCCGTGGCCTAAGTTCGGTCGGGAGGACATTATTATTATTATTACCTATAGCAAATCGTATTCTAAATTTGGGAGACGAACGAAAATCTGAGTAATGGTACAATAACTTTTGGTATTACGTAGTCTGAAATTAGGAATTACACGTAAACGGTATAACAAATTTGTAATACGTGATGTGAAATACGATGGTCGGTATGAAATTGGTTCACCAATTTTTTTAGGTCAGTAGCACAGAAATGGATATTAGTTATCTGCCAAGCTTCTGAGCAACAGGTTGGAAATGTAGATCCGTACCTATGAATAGGTGTTTCTTTTCCATAAGAAAGCGACAATATCTATTAATATATATATATGACAATATTATTTCTGAACTATTTATGATCCGGCGTAAGATAGTCATTTAAATCTTAATGCTAGGTAGGAGTTTTGTCCATTTTGCCTGCATTATGTCCCTGAACTATTTTCAGTATGCATCGCTCACATTCCATGCAAATAACACTTTTATATATGTGTAAATAATCGATTGTATGCGCGCGCCGATCCGTCCATGTTTAAGCCCACTTCAAGATTTAACAACTAACATATCAGCTGGCTGAAAAAGCGACAAGGCAAGTGTTATATAGAAGCTTTTGCAAATTAGTTTGACATAAATGAAGAAGTTACAGACTTCGCAGTTCAGCATCTTCTAATTTTTGTCCCTTTCGCAATATCTATTCAAAATCATCTTTCATATTTATATCTATTTTTAATTTTAATTTAATGTTCATTTTAACAAATAAATATCATATTGATAATTAATAAGAGGTGAAATTCGTGAATCATATTGAAGTTTTATATATTCGTGTTAATATATACTAACTTACTTTTTATATTATATTATAGCCATCATGCCGGGAGCAAGACATAAAATTTTGGGACATGTGCTATCCGGCTTTTGCCATAAAATGAACCGACGTAAACCTTTACATGGAGACTCTTTGGATACTCCGTTAAATCGTTGCCTTACCACATTTGACATTACCTTATTAGGTGAGTAAAGCATTTTAATATATAATGGTAGCAATCGTTGTACCCAGGCTTTATTAACTAGATTTTTCTTTTTCCTAAGTTTTGAAAACAAAATTATTTCTATTCTTATAATCTGTCCTGTCTCCCAACCTCGTCCTGAGCAGTAAATTGTAATAGGTGATTCCTGTACCTAGTGTATTATCAACAGCTATTCTGTTAGTCTATTTCTGGATCTCCAAAAATTTTCCTGCTGATATGCATTATTTGGCATATAATTATACTTATCATGCGGGACAGGAGGGTTTCTGAGAACAGAGCTGATCCTTTGCTCTAGTAGTGCTATCGAAGTTGGGATTCTTTGTTTTTGGATTGACTTGTCGCTATGAGTCAATTGGCCTCTTTTGCTTTACTTGTCAATCAGCTGGAAGCATCGCGTAGCATTTAGAGAAAAAGTTAGCAAGTTCTCCCTTACATATACGTTCATATTCCGATTTTAATTATCTTTATGCTTGGACCCTATATTCAAGTCAGTCAAAATGCGACATCTGAGTAATATGGGTATAAAATAATGTCGAACAATAACTGTTATTCTTATATTAGGTTTTTTGCATATTGGCGTAATCTAATACTATTAATAATAAGGACATGAGGGTACGGTCTATGGTACTATGGTCGCCTTAAACTTTGCAGCCCTATAAAACCAAAACTAGGAGGATTATAGATATAAAAGCACAAAGTCATATACTTACTGTTACTAATTTATTAATAAAAAATAGTAAATAAGAATTGGCAATAATTAGGAATACTTTGAAAATTAACATAATAAAAATTAACTACATTACGCCCTACTAAAATCGACTAAAATATTTACTATAGTATCAACTGTTAAAATGGCGTCGATAAAGCTGCGTCCTTTTGACTCTTTATTATTTGATTGACTGATGAAGAGCTATCGTATCATATAGCCTTCTATGCAAATAAGGCTGTAGTTTTTAAGTTATAAGAAAGTGACCATATTAACCGGATGGCCATATTACCCTTTGGTACTATAATTATTGTAGAAGAAGAGTTTAGACCAAGTCCTAACAGCTTCAATTCCTAAGCCAGAAGTATTTTTTTTTAAAAATCAACAGCGATTTAACAATTTTAAGGACTTAAAGTATACAGCTTAAATGTAGGGCCTATTAAAGGTTTTTTTCAGTTATATAAACAAAATATATTATGGACAGTACAATTTAACTATTCTTTGGATTTATTATAATATGTATGTTACTAATCTAATTATATATATATATATATGTTCACAGATATGTAACTAAATGTTTATACTAATTACACTTTTGTATATGTGTATGTAGAAGTAATATTTGTATTATTTATTTCTCTGCAAAACTTTTAAATGCAGCCAGATATTAATATTCTTTTATGTAATTTAATTTAATGAAATATGAAATATCACACCTGTTTATTTATTTATTTTTCTAAACCGTTACACTTATATACGTAGGCGGTCCCATAATGAATTGGCCTAACTATGAACCAATGAAGGAAATGAAACGAAACCAATTTTATTTTTCAATATAATCACCATGAATACTAACACACTTCTGACATCTGTGAATCAACATCTCTAAACCTTTATAAAAATAATCACATTTTTTATCCTCAAAATGACTGAAGACGGCCGCCTGCAACTCTTCATCGCTTGAAAATTTTCTTCCTCTTAAGTCCCGCTTTAAATTTGGAAATAAATAATAGTCGGACGGGGCCATGTCTGGACTGTAAGGTGGATGTTGAACTTCTGTGAACCCGCATTGACGAACTGCATCCTTCGAAACACCAGCGGTATGAACAGGGGCGTTGTCATGGAGCAACAGGACACCTTTAGACAGCTTGCCTCTTCGTTTTTCCTTTATCTTGTCTCGTAATTTATATATTAAAGAAGCATAATATTCGCCGTTCACGACTGTATTACGTTCTTTAAAATCCATCATCAAAATGCCTTGAAACTCCCAAAATATTGTGCACATCAGTTTTTTAGTCGATTGTTGCATCTTTGCCTTTCTAGGGGGCTTTTCACCCTTATAACGCCATTCCATTGACTCGCGCTTGCTTTGTGGATCATAATACAAGATCATAGTTTCATCACCAGTCACTAGCCGCTCGATCACAGTCTTTGGATTTTCGCCACAAAGATCCAAAAACTCCAAAGCGCAGTGCACTCTTTCCTGTCTCTGTACCGCTGAAAGAAGTTTCGGTACCCATCTTGCACTCACTTTTTTCATGTGAAGATGTTCATGGATCGCGCGATGAACGGTACTCTTAGAGAGCCCAAGCCTTGCTGCAATTTCTCTAATCTTCAAACGGCGGTCACTCAGAACCTCCTCTTCGATAAGAGCAATCGTTTCGGGAGTGAGCACTTCCACAGGTCGACCGTCGTGGCCAAAGTCTTCGACGGTTTCTCTCCCGAGACGAAACTCTTTCACCCAATTTTTCACTGTGCTATAGGAGGGGGCAGACTCCTTATACACGCCATCCAATCGTTCTTTTATTTGGGCAGGGGATAAACCTTCTTTAAACAGAAACTTTATGCCACTTCGATACTCAGTTTTCGACATTTTGAAAAAATACGCGACTCTCTTTATTCAAATGCCTGTTAAACTAAGACTAAGCATTTCATGTCGATGCATACTTCTTATATTAAGTGCACGATAAACGTACTATTTAATGCAACACAACATGTAGCGACATGTCGCGTTGAACTATATCAGGCCAGTTCATTATGGGACCGCCTGGTATGTCAGATTTACACTCAACAATCAAGTAAGAAATGATTATACTAGATGATGCAAAGTATGAATTCATTTTCATATTATAAGTAATAGAGTTGGTTTATGTTCATTACTATTTATTTATTTTTGTGTAGGGAGTCCTACTAGATGGAGTAACGACCTGGTAAGACATATAGGAAGTCGACGGACGCATGCGGCTCAGAATCGTGCCTTGTGGCATTCCCTGGGGGAGGTCCACGTTCAGCAGTGGACTTGTGAAGGGCTGTAATGATGATCATCATGATTAAGCAAATCAAAATGATTTACTCGTTTTGCACCTCATTTACAATTTTAAGAGCTTTAGCTTTTAAGTCTGGTTTACTAAAAACAAAGAGATCTATATCACTAAAGATCTCATTGTATGTCCTGAGCAATCGGTTTATAGGCGCATTACGTGCATAATTGGTGCCAGCAAACGGCACATGCAGTAAAGGGTGCGGCCTACGGCGGACACGACGCGACGGTACTTTGTATGTTATGCTCGCCACCAACTCAGGGCAGTCTACCTGTCCACGGACAATATCATGCAAAAAACATACGTCCATTAATTTACGTCTGTTTTCGAGTGTCTTAATAAATTATAAGATTGACAAGTATTTTCATAGATTACAAATGGTGATTTGAAAAAACGATAATTTAGATAATTGATGAATTTTTCCTGTATGCGTTCTATACGATCTTTATAAGTAGCGTATTGGGGAGACCAAATTGGACTGGCATATTCTAATATACTGCGAACATAAGCATTATACATAATTTTAAGGGTATTAATATCTTTAAAAGCTTGCAAGTTCTCATCACAAATCCAAGATTTTTAAAAGCCTTGTTAACAATTTCGTCAATATGCTCTGATAAAAGCATTTTATTGTCAAAATGAACTCCTAAATCTCTAACAGTAGATGTTCTTTGTATTCGAATACCGTTAAAATTGTAGGAGAATGAAATAGGGTTTTTTTTACGTGTGAAGCTAATACATTCGCATTTATCAATATTAATTGTTATGTTGTTAGCAGTGTAATAAGCTGATAAAGCGGTTAAATCAGTTTGCATTTGATGACAGTTCTGCTCAGTACGGATATTGTAAAAAAATTTTTTGTCATCGGCGTACATTAAATGTTGTGAAAACTTAAAACAAGTAGTAATATCGTGAAAAGAAGTATAGATGTATGTATTAATATATGTATTCTAAATAATTATTTGGGATACGGATTAGGACGTACGATGTATTCTTAGATTATTATTCATCTCTTATGTGATAAAGACTTTAATATATGTATAGAAGATAGAAATATGTATATTAGTAATTTACTTGTTTCGAGCTCTGAATGAAGAAAGACACGATAGTTCTCAAGGTAGCTTATGGTCAAATTTATGTTAATAACAAATATTGATTTTGTCATTTCAGGTGTTGGGCATATGGTTGGTGCTGGTATTTATGTTCTAACGGGAACTGTCGCTCGTCACATGGCCGGTCCTGCGACGGCACTCAGTTTCTTATTTGCTGGCGTTACCTCGACCCTTGCTGCTTTGTGCTACGCCGAGTTTGGAACAAGAATACCCAGAGCAGGAAGTGCTTATGCCTACACTTACGTCAGTGTTGGCGAATTTTGGGCATTTATAATAGGCTGGAATATTGTTCTAGAGTATATGATAGGTAAGTGTTTCAAAATTATTAACATCACTAAGTCTGCTCCTCAGGTCTGCTCTGATATTTTAGTTTATATATATATATATATATATATATATATATATATATATATATATATATATATATATATATATATATATATATATATATAAGACTAAAGAGCTAATAGAAGTTTTGATCCTCACTCGCTCGCATCTCTTCTTTGTGAGTTGCGTCAAAGGCCAAAATATTTTCCTTTTTACGTTGCAACATCTAAGAGATAATGGACATTTTGAACTCCATGACTTTGCCAAACAAATTCTTATGCAGAATGTTGAGAAATTAATGCCTAGTACCTGGATGAACGAGCTTTCCTCGGTATTTTTTTTTTTGGAAATTATATTTAGATACAAATTACATACTGATGAAACATGAATAATATTTTTTGATCTTATTGACATAATAGAAAAAACTGAACTGGTTATTTGAATAAAAAATTAGTGAATGAGAGAATGATAGTGCAATTAGTTTAATTAAAATTTTTGTATTTTTAAAAAAATACTAAAAAAAGGACTCGAAGTAATACATTTTCTCACAAAAGAAGGGAACTTGAAAAAAAAGAAAAATAAGTCGGACCAGAGACAGGACGTGAACCAGGGCACGTCGATTTCGCGACCGCCCGATATCCCATTGAGCTATTACGATCATTAATACATTTTCAAACTTTACCTTCTTATATTCTGATTTATTGTGCCCGAAACCCCCTGGACACTAAATTTTATGAAAATCGTTGGAGCCGTTTCTGAGATTCCGATTATATATACAAGAATTGCTCGTTTAAAGGTAAAGGATATGATTGTAATATAAGACCATGCGAATGAAATTACAGGCTAAGTCTAGTCTCCAACAAAAAAAGACGGAGTGCCGCATACATATCAAGTGACGCACAAGCTAAGCCAAAACCATGCTAAGCTTATTGTAAGAACTGCATATGCGCTCACGTACACATATATGTAACATGTTTTTAGTTGTATATGCGTGCGGCCAGCAGTGAACGGGGCATCCACGATTTTTTCTGCAACCACGGCGCCACTTAAAATTGAGGTGTAATATTGATAGATTTCATAGTCGGGAAGTTAATTTGTTCGAAAAATGTAAAGGTTAATGTTTCTTTTTGTACTATTGGTTATATTTAATATTAATCAGATTAAAAAAATACCGAACCAGAGATATTCGTAAAAGTAATAAGTATAGTTAAAAAATAGTTAGAATGTGCAAAAAATTAAAGAGCAAACCACTGAGGCAATGTTTGGTGTATTAATATAATAATCTAGAAACTGATAAACTTTTATTTAAAACGAACTTCTCAGTTAAATAACTTTGTGTAACAAAAAAATTCACCTCAGTGTCAACTTGCGAAATCTAGTGAGCGGAAGATTATTAAGCCCTCACTTTTACGGGCTGATATTGAAAGAAGAAAAAATAGTGCGTGTCAAGAAGTTGAACACGGTTTTAGAATTACTAATAAGTTATGTACGTAGCCAGTAGCGTAGCGTGCCTTAGACGGACCCTGTATCAAAATTTAATGGGGGGGGGGGGCGCAAATGAAAGGAAAAAATTTTTCACAAAAGGAACAAAAACTCTCGAATTGAATTAAAATTATTATAAATTGATAGTAAGTTATTAATTACAATTAATACTAACAGGGGATTCCCGCAATAACTAATGTATTGATTACTGGTCGCGGGTCAGTCGTGAAGTGAGACGTGTTGCCAACTTTTGGGCGTCCACTTGACCCGGGGGAAAAAGGGAGTCCTTTTTTGACTTTCATAATTTTAGAAGTGAAAACTTCTTTAGGCACGTTCGGCACTTTTTATCATATGATTTTTTTCTCGGGAAGTACGGCCTAAGAGTTTAAGTGTGATTGTGGATAACATTTTACGAATTGTAGCTTACACACGTTCGGGGCCTCTGTAGCCCGAGGGCCCCATATCATTGATATGGCTGATACGGCGATAGCTACGCCCCTGTACGCAGCGTTGCGTCTATCTTCTTTATCAGTCTAAAGTAAAAACAAATATTGTAGACTATATTATTGTTTATTTTTGTTTCAGGCGCTGCTTCAGTTGCTAGGGCTTGGTCAGGATATTTGGATGAAATGTTAAATGGAGCGATAAGCAACGCAACTATTTCGGTAACTGGAGAAATGCACGAAACTCTTCTGAGTCGGTATCCCGATGTTTTAGCATTTCTCATTTGTATTGCAGCATCCCTTATTTTAGCAGTGGGCGTTAAAACGTCCGCATACATTAATAACGGCCTCACTATTTTAAACCTGCTAGTGATAACTCTTGTTATATTCCTCGGATTTTACTACGCAGATGTTGATAATTGGTCGGAGAAAAATGGTGGCTTCATGCCATACGGTTTCAGTGGTGTGTTAGCTGGTGCTGCTACATGTTTCTACGCATTCGTTGGTTTCGATAGTATTTCGGCTTCAAGTGAAGAGGCAAAAGATCCGTCACGTTCTATACCTATTGCAACTATGTTGTCAATGGGATTAGTTGCGTTTGGATACATTCTCGTCGCTATCGCGTTGACTCTCATGGTACCATATCAAACAATTAATCCTGACGCTGCTTTGCCGGCCGCGTTAGGTGCAGTTCACGCCGACTGGGCTAAATATGCAGTCGCAGTCGGGGCGGTTTGTGGAATGACCACTACTTTATTAGGTTCACTATTTTCTTTACCCCGTTGCTTATATGCCATGTCGGTTGATGGCTTACTATTTGGCTTTCTAAGTGATATGAACAATAAGTCTCAAATTCCTGTTTCAAATTTAATAATATCTGGTTTATCATCAGCGCTTATAGCTTTGCTCTTCGATCTGGAGAAATTGGTTGAGTTCATGTCAATTGGCACATTATTAGCGTATACTATCGTCAGTACCGCCGTCATAATTCTTCGATATCGTCCTGCTCCAACGTCTGATGAAAAGTGTTTTGGTGATCCGCAATTAGATTCGCCGTGTGATCGCGAAGACAGTTCTGCGACCGGAACACCAGGAACAGATGGTGGCTCTTCTTCATCTGAGGTAATTGCATACATATAGTTATGGTAGTTTTATACTATCGCGGTCTCCTCGTTTTTTTGGCTCTAGAAAATAGTCGCGTAGTAGAGTGCACGCCTTGCAATACATAATGCAGTGTTGGTACCGACTTTGTTATATGGCAGCGAAACCTGGATATGCCAGAAGAAGCATAAAAGCAAGTTGAATGCAGTGGAGATGCGATCTCTTCGTAAAATGTGTGGCGTTACCTTAGCCGACCGAAAGCGAAACGAAGAGATTCGCAATATGGCAGGATTGAAAGATGATCTTATCACAAAAATTGATAGGGGCGTACTCCAATGGTTTGGGAACGTTGAACGAATGAGTGAAGACCGAATGGTGAAGAAAATATATAGAGCGAAAGTAAATATTAAAAGGTGTCGAGGTAGACCGAGACTAACTTTCGAAGACCATGTGAGCAAATTGCTCGAAGAGGGGAGGGTCAAGAGTACTCGGATACCTAGACGTGCATGTATGAAGAAGTTAATGAACCCGAAAGAAGCGAAAGAGGTATGTAAGGATCGTGACACTTGGCGATCTGTTCTCTCTGGCTACCCCTTTAGGGATTGTGCGTGAAGATAAGTAAGTAAGAAAATAGTCGAATAATTAATAGTAGTAGAATAATTATTCGATTTCGGTGATTTTTTTAAATCTTCGTTTTTGCGGCGGATTTACGAAAACAATTACAGGAATAAAAAAATTAAAACTTATATTGGTTTCAGCGCTTTAAATGTTCATGAAAATGCAGTCATTCACGTATAACTGTTGATAACTTTTTTTACAAATAATCGAATGAAGTTCACGCCGATTGGGCTAAACAAAAAAACGAACATTAAAAAAAAACATTGAAAATTGTTTGTTTATTAATTTTTTTATTTTGGTGTTCTATTGAGTGTAAGATCGATCGACTCGGACAAGTTAGGTTAGCAGGAGATGGCGGGGTCGAGTGAGCGGACGAATAGACCCTTAGGTATAGATAGGTATATAGATCTTTCACTCAATAAAACACCAAAATATTAACTATTATAATTATTTCGATTTTCTAGAGCATTTATGGTAACATTTAAGGTCAGAAAAGCATATAAAAACTTTAAGTGAGATAAAAAATTAATAAACAAACATTTTCCAAAAATAAAATATAAACTTCGTTTAATGCTTTGCAAAAAAGCTATGAACGATTATATTCGAGGAAGTGCGTTTATGATCACATTTAAAGTCATAAAACTGTATGAAATCTTCAGGTGAGATATTTTCCATATTTTTGCCATAAGTCCGCCACAAAAACGAAGATTTAAAAAAAAACATCGAAATCGAATAATTTTTTTGATTTTCTAGAGCCAAAAAACGAGGTGACCGCGAAAGTATAAAATTACCATAGTTATGTCATAATATAGTAACCCATAAGTAGATTCAAATAAAATAACGAAATTCGGCGATATTCCATTACGTCGTGTCAAACTGTGGGTGCCGTAATAAACATTCCATTACGTCGTGTCAAACTGTGGGTGCCGTAATAAACATTCCATTACGTCGTGTCAAACTGTGGGTGCCGTAATAAACGATAGAAGGAAGCAAACTAGATGGGCAGCAGAGTCTTCCAAATGATAACTTTAAAAATAAAAATAAAATCGGTTGCTAAGCTTTTGTGGTAATCTGTGAGGAGGCCTATGTTCAGCAGTGGTCTTTAATAGACTACAATGAATGAATCAATGTTGTTATTGTATGAAAAACGTTACCATAATGACGAGCTGAATTTGTAGACAGGGTATCCTTTAAACAGAATTCTATAATGCATAAAATTATAGCATCATTGAACAAGAACCGACAATCATTATCATGACGATAACCAGTGAAGTACGCATCGTCTTTTCTTGAGTGAGTTTTTCATTGTTTTAAACGACTTCCAAGAGGAGGAGTGTTCAATTCGACTTTATGTTTTTTTTGTGAGTTACCTCAGCGACTATTTTTCCAGGTGAACAGATTTAGATAATTTTTTTTTATTTGAGGGTTTTGGTGCTCCTCGTGTGGTCCCATATAAATATGATCAAGATCTGACCAGTAGTTTTTGAGTTATCCATAATAACGCGTATTTAATTGACTTCGAATACATTGATGATGTTCTCATTTTATTTATATTGAATTCGATTGTACAAAAAATTTAATTTTACCACTTGTTTGACATAATGAGCGTGCAGAGTAACCTTGTCAAGTCTCTATCGTCTCTATGTGCAAAAGTTAAAAATTCTATCGAAAGTATAGTTAATTGCGATTTGAATTCTGAATCACCACAACCTATTATTATTTTAAGGACGTGAAGTCCGAACTGTGAAGTGAATGTGAGTCACGCAAGTGAGTGAAACGAACTGCTCACAGAAATTAGAGCAGGCCGATGCCCATAAGTGGGCCTATTAAGAGAATCTATTCACTATCTTAAAAATTATTAACCTATTCACTATCTCAAAATTTGGCTGTAACTTCAAACTCATAATCCTGCTATGCAATTATAATATAAGTATTTCAAACTATCTACGAATTTATCTAGAGTGCAGTTATTTTATTATTTCAGATGTTTGAAGTATTGACAGTAGGTCGTCTGAGGGCGCAGTACGCTTGGTTGGAGCCACTGGCGGGTGGTAGGGCCCCAGGAACTGCCGTCAGTGGTTGCGTTTACGTTTTCACCATTGCCGCCGCCGCTCTGTGTGTCCACAATCACTTTTTGGCAGAACCTGCAGGACTCTGGGCTCTTCTACCGGACTTCGTACTTGGCTGTATTATAATTGCTTGTAAGTAAAATGTCTTTATAACGACTAGATCTTAATAAGTCTAAGTGTCATCTATACTTCCTAAGCGCTATTTTATTTGAATACAATAGTGATCAATGAATATAGACTGGAATCAGCGACATCTAAAAAGATAGGACTATATAGAGGAAGATGTATAGAGTTAAATAGAGGAATAGAGGAATGCAACAAATTTGAAATACTGCAGGTAATTTGGAATACTCGGATATCTCTATTAACGTAAACGGCCTTTGTGTTTTTTTTTCCATAAACATAACGTCACACGACATACGAAGTCAATATATAGTAAAAACAGGGAGCCAACTGGACGATTTTGGTGACAGCTACCTACAAGAGAATGAAAACGTCTACTTTGAAAACTTTTCCGGTAAGAATGTAATCTTTGTTAATAATTTACGATGATATGCAAAATCTTTATTATAATCGTTTAAACTATTATGTGACTTTAATAGAACTAGCAACAGAGACCGTAAACCCGCAATCATTTCAAGTTCTCCTTACAAGAAGGAGCTTAAAACAGTACAGTTAAAAAAATCCGATAAAGATAACAAGACACAGAATAAAACAATAAAGGGAAAGGCAAGGAGGAAATAACAAAAAAGAAACAGAACAAATATGACATAAAGTGAATCGGCAGATTTGAATCCTGTTGATATCTTTGGAAATAATACAGGCTCGTCCTATGATGTAGCAACGAGAAATCAGACTGCAACCCCTACTGAGAAAGATGCTGAGTGTTTTTCTATAACGAAAAATGTAGCTGAGATATATGGGTACAGCTCTTTATGTGCGAATTGCGGGTTCAAGGTGCTTATATATGTATGACTGCAATTGGTACCTAACTAAAAAAATTAAACACTGATCTGTGATTGTGACTGTTTACAAACTAATAATTATTGAAGGCTATGTAGTTAAAAAAATATTTACATTTTGTTTTGTATGATTTCTTATATTATTAAAGTTAAATAATTTTCCAATAATTAATTGCATTTTTTTTTCTAGGCAAAAACAAACTGATATTTCAAATATGCTGTAGTTCCTCTAAAGAATTTTTTTTAAAACCATAAATTGTACAACAAAGCTTTAAAGTATCAAAATTATCACGAGTCTACCAGCAATGTAACGTTAGAAATAAGTTTCTCTCAAAGCGCGCCTTTATTTAGACTCACGAAGACAATTACTGTGCTTCATCTATTTACCTGAAAACCTAAAATATGCTTAATATTTTATGCGGCGGTCACTTCCGCGACAAATTTGACTGAGCCATCGATTTTCCGTTTTGCAAATTCAAAAATCAATATCACTATCATAGTAAATCACTGGATCTCCGTCGGATTTTTGGCAGAATATTTATAAGCAAACTTTGCTTATTTATACTTTAAGCATTTTTGTATTTCATATTAAGAGCTAAAAATTTAAGTAATCGATATAAAACCTTGTGTTCCATTCTTTCTTCTCTTGTTTAAAATAGTAATTGGTTTTGTGTGATTTACAACATAAAAAGAATCATTGAAATCCGTTTCCTGTCTTTGTAGTTATTGAAGCGAATTAGTTAGCGAAGCACTGTGCATGGCAATGGCCCTGCCTTGGGACTCAGTAGGGAGGGTAACGATGTCCTTCGGTTGATTTCGACATATTACGCCACTTTCAGGTAGCAACAGTTAACATAGCACATCATAGTTTTTTTTATAGGATAGGGCGACAAACGAGCACACAGTCCACCTGATGGCAAGTGGTTGCTGTGGTCCATAGACATCTACATCTATCCTCGATTACGAATCAAAATGCAGATGCGTTGTCACCCGTGAGGACTAAGATGGAATGCCTCGTTTCCAATAAAAAGGGTCTCCGGTTTTCTACACTCATCATACGAAACACAGCAGCATTAATCTACTATTTTACACTGGTATTCTGTGAGAGCGTGGTCCTTCCCCGGTCGAGCCGACCCATTCGTGCTACAACTATACTTCTAATATAACTGCAACATGGCTTTATGGCGTCAAATAGTAGCTTAATGCTAAGCTACTATTTGACGCTGGTATTCCGTGAGAGCGTGGTCCTTACCTGGTCGACCCATTCGTGCTACAACTATACTACTAATATAACTGCAGCATGGCTCTACCACGTATAAGAAGTATAGTAGTAAAGTAGGAAAGTAAAGTGGTAGTTTTATATATGTGTCCACAATACGCAGGTCTTTTCGTAATCTGGGCACACCAGCAAAGTCCGACGAGGCTGCCATTCCGTGTGCCATGGGTGCCCTTGCTGCCTGCTGCCAGCGTAATTCTCAACGTCGAACTTATGGTTAATCTTAAAGCGCTTACATGGGCTCGTTTCGCCATTTGGATGACCTTTGGTAAGTCCCCCAAAATTTTTATATCTTTTTACATCAAAGTATAGGCGTATTTCACCTGCTAAATAGAAGATACCAGCTTATGTATTTCCTACACACTGACATCAATTCGCGTTTATCAGTGATTATTGACAGCTTCGCGGTGCAATGAATAGCAATGAGTCACGGCGATAAGGGCCACGGGTTCGAATCCTGCAAGGAAACCCAAATTTCGAATCCTAAATTAATGTAAATTAATTGCCTCCACGAAAATCCAGCCATATCATTTTCTTTAAATTACAAAAACACACTGATACATTTACTTGTTTTATTTATTGATACAAAATTTCTATTAGAGGTTTATAAACGAAATTTAAAACCACGCACTGCAATACTCATGGCCAATTCTAATTAATTTATTTTGTTAAACATATCATTACATAAAACTCTCTCACGCCTGTTACCCAGAGGGGTAGGCAGAGAATAGTGACTTTCATTCGCTACGATCCTTATTCTGACACACCTCTCTCGCTTCTTTCACATCTACGTATTTACGCGCAGTGGCGAAGCTAGGACTCCAAGCTAAGGCAAGCCCAAGATACGGTTTTGTTGTTTTTAGCAGTTTCATAAGAATACACCAATCTTGATCTGTCTCCACTCTTCAGTTTCATATTCAGTGCTGTCGAGGACGTGTTTAACAAAGCACACAGAAGGCATACTACTGCTAGATAGATTGTATGACATATCAGCAATTGTATACCTTCGCTGGCTTTGAAAAAAGCCGTTTGGGTTTGCTTGAGCGAAAGAAAAAGACATTTACATACAATACTATACATGAACAAAGTACAAACAAACTATGTACAAAATTAAAAAAAACAAATTATTTATATTCTAAATTGAATGGCCTCTCTTTCTTAAGGAAAGATTTGATTACGTCCGCGTAAAATGTTGGTGAACATTTTAATTGTACCAATAACTGTTTTTCAATTGCGATAATTGATAAGTCCGAAAGACGCTCTTGACCTTGTGTATTTTCTCAACAAAGTTTAAAGATTTTGCCTTTTCCTAGCCGATTAGCACTTTAACACACTTCAATTCATTACAAGGAACACTATTATCCTCCATTTTCACTAAAAATCTTTGAAAAAGCATAAATTTTCAACAGACACAACAAAAACAGACATAAACATTGAAATGTGAAGTGAACTTCTAAACTTATCACTCGGAAACATCTTCAGAGCAAAGCCCAGCTTTTGGTTCAATAGTAATTGCTATACTTATATGTAAATATTTCGTATAGTTCGTACCAAATCGATTGAGAAAAAAGGATGACCTCGGATATGAGCCGAGTGTAAAAAAGACGTAACTTACAAAATATCAATTTAGATGTGATAACAATATTTAAATATTGATATTATTCACACTTCTAGGTCAGCACATATGTTTTGTTTTTTTGTTTCTTAAATAATATTGTCTGTGGTTCCTATAAGCATCGTAAAATCTTACGGTACATCGCGAAAAATGTGTTACATTTTATATTAAAAAAAATATTTGAAGCAATATAATCACCATATTGAGCTTTTGCAAATTCATGCCTTTAAAATAAGCAAAAGCGCGTTACGTCAATTCGTTCTAAAAGAAACGTGACAATGGCAGCCAGAGATGCGTAACTTTTTTTGGGCCGGCCCGCATGCACCGAATAAAAATAAAGTTTTATTTTATTTTATATACATACAACATACACAGTCATTACAGGATGAGCACCCTAATTCGACAGTGTAGCCAACGATACAATACCATATGCCACTCTACTGAGCTCACTCAGCGAACATGAAAACAAATCAGTTTGCTCCGACATGGCGTTGATCATACGCAGCGCGCGCGCGAGCGGCGCCTGCTGCATCAGTGCGGTGTGCGCGCGCGGCACCGCCAGTAACGGCGGCCGCCGCCGACGCCTCGCGCACCCATCCGGCGCATTGAGTCGCACCATCTCCAGCACTCTCGGGTTGTGTATTCTACCCCTCATCACCTTCAACACGTACATTGCGAGAGCTACTTCTCTTCTGACTTCGAGCTTATAGTATCCTACCATACCGAGTAAAAATAGGGTAGGATACAACAAGGGATAGCCCGGGTATATTCCAAATAGTTTCAAGTACATGAATCTAATAAATTTATTTTGGATCCGCTCTAACATATATTTGTAATTGACTTCATGAGGAGCCCAAATGACGGCGTTACACTCTAAGTGGCTCCTTACGAGTGCATCATATAGCGTTCTGAGAGCCCTGACGTTTGTGAAATTATTTGCAAGACGCATTATCAATCCGAGGTTACGGCATGCCTTTATACAAACATTACTTACATGTAATCCGAAAGTTAAGCCTGCAGTGAAACGTACACCTAGATCTTTAACCTCCTTAATTCTATGAAGCAGTTTCCCATCCATCACGTTAATTCTTATATAATATTGAAAATAAAGTTTTATCTTTTGAATAAGTACGTAATTATTCGGTGTCGTTATCATTCGAATCTTTATAAGTGTTATAAATTAATACTTTTTGTTGTTAAATGAATAAAGTACTTAATAACAATAGATGGTTTTTCTTATACAGCGATCTTTTACATAACTTTTTTATAATAGTTAATAAATATATATTATATCAATCATTATAAAAAAATAATAATAAAATCATTATAAATAAAGTAAAAGTAAAGTAAAGTAAAGTTACAGCCTATATACGTCCCACTGCTGGGCATAGGCCTCCCCCTCATTTCTGAGAGGGTCTTACAACAGGGCAACGAAGTGTCCGCCGCGCTGCCCCAATGCGTGTTGGCGAACTTCACATGTCCTCGCAATTTTTTTTCTTATTTCTCAGACACGAAGGTTTCCTCACGATGTTTTCCTTCACCGCCGAGCACGAGATAATTCAGCACTTAAAATTGCAATCAACAATTTCATTGGTGCCAGTGGGGATCGAACCCGGGTTACTCGCGTTCTGTTATATTTACAGCGAGCGTTAACCATCTGAGCTACCACGGCTCGTGTCAAATAAAGTACTACATATAAAAAGTGCCTATATATTGAAGGTGTGTAGCCCCTGGTTAAACGACCGAAAGGTCAATGTCCATTTTTCTCAGTCGATTTGGCACGAATAGTTATTATATCATTATAGAACATTTTGTCACAGGTTAGAAAGGGAGCGATCGTCTTCTCGAAAGCCCGGTAAAAAGCCAACGCATGCGACAGAGACTACTAATCTCTCAAATCAACTCCTTGCTTTCATTACAAATCAACTCCTTGCTTTCATTAATTTTCACAGTCCGGAGAACACGAATCAGTGTATTTCGAATTGAAAGTATTCTACCAAGTGTTGACGTTACATACGAGTATATGCTACGAGGTCATCACCTGTGTAGAACAGAGGAGCGCACGGGAAATTTGAAATAGTTTGAAACAGTTTACGAATTATTTTATTAATTGATATTATTGATTGAGCAGATTGAAAGGGCAAGCCTGGCTTTTCGGCTTTTATGGAGGCTCTCCACTGTCTATGCGTGTACACGCTTGTCGCATAAGATTATACCGTTCATAAGATATTTTAGATAGATTTTGCATATTCCTTCTTAATGTTTGTAATGTAGAGTTGTGGGCGTTAAATTGTAATTTTAGGTCAACTAAAGCTACTAGGTTCTGGATAAGATTAGTATTTTCAAATGTATGATTGTAATAATAATAGTGTGATTAGGTAAGAAACCTTATGCTAAGAGATGATGACAATAAGCTTACTCCACATTGTTTTACCTGTATTTCTTTTGTACCTCTAGGTCTACTTCTTTACTTCCTCTACGGCATTCACCACAGCAAGTTGGGTGAGGGTGTGACAGGGCTTTTGTCGCGTTCAGGTAGCGGTGGCGGACACAGTGGCGGGTGGGGCGCAGTGGACAAGACGAATGCAATAGCGCGCCGGGTAGGAAAACTCGCGCGCGGCTCGAAGAGCGACGACCGCAAACCGATTATATGCGACGATGAACTTGCTAGACCGTGATTTTAAAACGAACCGTTTAACGGGCAGCTATCACAATAACTCGTGCAATTTGTGTCGGTGCATTTCACATTTTTTAAACGTCGCAATGCTTAGGTTTGGGGGCAGCAACTGTGTGTGCTTCTGATAGTTGCATTGCTTTGTTTAGTCATGAAGTTATTAGTAACAAAAAATTTATAACTCATTAAATCTGTCATGTACAGTAACCGTAATTTTAATTGGCAGTTGTTATTGCTTATTTCGGAGATTGGCTCACTTAATCTTTGCTTTAAAGCTTACAGCTCTCGGCTTTGTATGGCTAGCAAATTATCTACTTTATTTCCTGTCGAGGAAAACTTTTAAAAAGTTATTAAATTTTTACAAAATATACGGATAAAAAAATTATATTTCGTGAAAATACTATCATAGGTTATCCAACTAAGTGGGTACTGTAAGTATATGATAAATATCAAAAATGATTATTAAAATCATGTTATTATTTTTTATTTCATATCAATTATTTCATTTCATGACAGCTGACTTCACTCATTTTTAAGTACTTTCCGACTTGTAGACATGTGTCAATCATTAATTTTTCCACTTACATTCGGATCGATCATTCAAATGGATCATTTCGGGCTTCAGTGCTCTGTAAGTCTGTGAGATCCATTGAAAATCGAAAAATTTGTTTCAATTCATTCAGATCATTCGAGATTAGGTCGGTTTTCGACTCATTCACAATTCACACCAATCACGAGTTAAAAAGGTTCCGTCAATTATTTGTGATTGGTTGTACCGGAACATTCAAAAACAGATGAATGAACCATCAATACTTTTAAGTATACCAGCTCAAACTAACGAATCATTCATGATTGACACATGTCTACCGACTTGCAAATTGCCTTGCAAAAAATGTTGTTTAATATCGAGTTTACACTCTCGCGCTGAAAATATTGCTCATAATTTTATGACTTGCCATGAAGAATCCTTGCATTACATATTATAATAATTATATGTAATGCAAGGGTCTTACTATAAAATAGATATGCACAAAAATTTTAACGCACACTGTATGTCAAAGATGTTGACATATTATGTTTGTTTACCAAATGTTTACCATGTTTTATTTATCAAATGCTATTATTTTTATATTGAATTTTTTTTATTATATAGTAGGCTTGAGCAACTCAAGTTTCAATAAAAAGCATACATAGATACATTGTGATGAATGCACATCATCGAAAATCGTTTCAAGGTCGGAACAGGTAGATACAGATAAAGAGAGATGATAAAAATTTATTAAAAATATGTATAGAGATATTGTAGTTTAAGCTATTTATTATTAATTTTTTTGTTAAACTGTAATTAGGTGGTATGTGATTTAATTTTAATTTCGAGGTGCGATAAATGTTTTACACTTTTCAAATATTGTGCATACAGCAGTACTAATACTTAAACAGCTCACAAATGAGATATTTATCGATTGTTATACTATATTATGCAAATTTTATTTCAAAACTATTGCTGAAATACTGGGTTTTGATACAATGACAAATATATTACATTAGAAATTGATGTTTCATATGAAATATTTAACTAAATAATGTTAAGAGACCGTGTTCTTCGAAGTCGACTCTTGCTTTTCATTAAAAGTTATTTTCTTTTTACCCTCTAAGCAATATCAAAAGCTAAAGGTAATTAAAAGACGTCTCAATAATTACACTCAAAACTTCACCCTCATTTGTATATGTCTGTTGTAACAAGATAACAATCAGCATTAAAATATATACACATCGTAATATTACTTTCTGGTTAAATAGTGATAAAAATGTATTTTCTAATTAACGTCACAATGTTTATTTAGTATTTAATACTATGTTTATCTTTCAAATTATACTTTATTAAAAATTAAACATACTATATATTGTGTTAAATAAATTGATTGAACGTTTAAAACATGTTTAATATTATAGATTTTATTTAGAAGTTGGAATTAAATTATACTAAAACGACGTTATACCTATACATTACGATTACTGGTGTATACTCCATGTTCATAATTGGTCGATCATACTTATCGTATATGTAGGTATCTAAGTGTTTATGTGTATATGAATAAATATAAATAGTTAAAATGTTTTTTATTACCGTAAAACCGGCCATCATTGCCCTTAGCGGATATCTTTGCCCGAACACGAAAAATAACTTTAATCTTGAATAATTGTGAATAAATTTACAGAGCTATTTTTTTCTGGCAACACAAATGCTAGCGACGTTGCAAAGTTCACTCACTTATAGACATGTGTCAATCATTCATTTCTAGTGACCGAATCATTGTAGTACATTTCGTCACACGTACCGGTACATTCGGATCGATCATTCTAATGGATCATTTCGGGCTCCAGTACTCTGTGAATCCGGAGATCCATTGGGAACTGAAAATTTTCTATTTGAGATTTGTAATTGCGCCATCTACTACATGCTATAAGTGATAAAGTCATTTTATCGAACTAAAACTTATTGACTTTCAAAATGGTAAGTACAATCGACGCTAGATGGCATAAACAAAAAAACCTCAAGTAATTGATATGATTATAATATATGATTTGACCTGCATTGATAACTTTATTCAATATTATTATGTATTTCAAATATTTATTAAATTAGTTTATTCTTAAATTTCATTCCTAACAATACACAATTTCATCTTACTTTACATGTCTAAAAATAGGGATTGTAATTTAAATTTAAAAAAATTTAAATGTATTTGCTATAAACTTAAACTTTTATCTTATACTTATACAAGGTGGTTGAAAATTATCATATTAAATAAATCATTTTCCATGAAATCTTTTGTAGTGTTATTTTAGTAAACCCTACGAAATTATATTTTTAACTCATAGATGTAACAAATAAAAACGTAAAATAATGTTTAATTTTGGAATAGGTCGTGCCACGTAAGATGAAATTAAATATAGTCTACTGCGCATGAACAATCAAGCAGAAAAATGAAAATTTTATTATGGCATTTTAATATGTAAAAAGTCAAAGGTCAACATTATAACTACACATCAAAGTCTTCACGAAAACTGAACGATATGTTTATATATCATCGTTAGGTTTTAACTGCTTCTAAATAATATTCTGCATTTTATGTACACTTGGTTAAAGAAATAAAATGTTGTATTTGTATTTGTAATTGCTGTTTAAACTATACTATGCGATAGCCTTCGTTTATAAGGATATATTTTTCATCTTGTAGAAAATAACAAAATATTTACAAGTTTATACAATATACTACGAACTACGCTATTTTAAATAGTCCTATAATAATTTATAAAGTGGTAAATATTTGCACACTATTTGAAAATATTATAGAACAATATTTTTAAAAGTATATAAGTAATCGCAAAAATTTAAAATTTTATAACAGGTAGTCGCTAACAGTTTCGACATCGATAGTACACAAGACGACACAAGAAGTGCGCGCAACGGGACGCAAGAAGAAACTACTTGGGAGTAGCGCGTAGCCCGTTGCTGTGGTTTCGCTTCCCCGTACCTCACACCTCACCGTGCCGACACCTATTTTTCGGTTCTGCGCACTTCCATCACTCGTGGCGTTACCTATAACAATATTTTAATAAAAAAAATAATAAATACTCCCGATACTCTGCAGTCTGCATTGTTTATTCGATTCACCTGTTCATTCAGATCATTCGGGCTTCGGTGGGTTTTCGGCTCATTCACAATTCACACCAATCACAAGTTAAAAAGGTTCCGTCAATTGTTTTGTGGTTGATTGTACTGGTACATTCAAAAACAAATTAATGAACCGTCAATACTTTTAAGTGTACCAGCTCAAACGAACGAATCATGCATGATTGACACCCGAAAGCCAAGACATGTCGGAAGTAGGACTAGTGTGATGTAGTGCAAAAATCTTGTTTTTACGTTTTCTGTCAGCCTACGACATCTCTCAGGTAAGTTATTTCCACTTTAGTGTTACAGTACGTGCTACGCTTAATTTATATACTAGTTTGGAGACCTTTAAATCACACAATTTTCAAGATAACGGGGTGGGCAATGATTCCCAAAGTTGCGTGAATACAGGAGTTACACCATTGTCCACTTTAAAAATAGTGTTAGGGTTGGCACCCATAGTAAATATTTTTTTTTATAGAAGAGGGGGCAAACGAGCATGCGGCTCACCTGATGTTAAGTGACTACCGCCGATCATGATCAACCGCAACACCAGGGGAATTGCAGGTGCATTGCCGGCCCTTTAGAAAGGAGTAAGCTCTTTTCTTGAAGGTCCCCAGGTCCTATCGGTCACCACCACCAGAGGTGGGATTAATCCGAACAATTCCTCAGAGCACTCCCCATGGTATAAAGAAAATGCAAAGAGATACAACATCTCTTCGCAACGCCAGTGAATCGAGTCGATGGGAAAGCACTCGGTCGTCGACGATTCGAGCCGCTCTGCGCTGGATGCGGTCAAGTGGAAGGAGCTGGTACTGGGGAGCCCCAGCCCAGAGATGGGAACGGTATTCCATGTGCGGCCGAACCTGCACCTTGTAAAGTTGCAGGCGGTGTGCGGGCATGAAATACTGTCCCGCTCTGCTGAGCATGCCAAGCTTTTTAGAGGCCGATTTGGCCTTCTCTTCCAAGTGACCACGAAACTGCACGTCACTCTATATGTCGACGCCGAGGATTCCGATACTGGCTGAGGCAACAAGGGGAGTGCCTTAAAAATGAGGAGATACGACAAAGGGGTTCTTTTTAGCGCGCAAACTTGTGTCTTCTGGGGGTTAAACTGGACTAGATTTAGTCGCCCCCAATCCGAGACTCTGTTCAGCAAAGACTCGACTTTAGACACAAGTTTGTCCCGGTACTCGGAGACGTTTTCCCGAGAAATATTGGCACGGCCGGTGTAAAGAGCATCACCAGTGCTGTCATCTGCATAGCAATGAATATTACGAGTTTGCAACATTCATTGCTATGCAGAAGTAGCAGCGTTTGTGATA